CCCGCGCGACTCCGGGCGGGGCCACTCGGCCGCTCTGAGGCCTGTGATTGGTTCTCGAGCACAATGCTCCGCCCTGGGGCGGGGCCTGGAGGTACGGAGCTGGGTGCTCGCGACCCACTCCTCCCCTAGCTCAGCTGACTGGGGCGCAAGGCTCAAGCGTCCTCACTCGCGTCCGATCCCAGGTCGCCCCTACAAATCTCCGGGCCCCCAAAGATGGTGCAAAGTGAACTTCAGCTACAGCCCGGAGCAGGCGGACGAGCTGAAGCTGCAAGCGGGGGAGATTGTGGAAGTGATAAAGGAGGTGAGGGGATGAGGTAATGAGAGGGTTTGGGTGGAGATGATGGAGCACGTCTCTGGGTGAGGGTAGTGGGTACACTGAGGGTGTGGGCCATGGGAATGATGAGGGGCACAGAAATGGGAAAATGAGGGGAGGGGTCATCGGGCAGAAACGGGATGAACCAGGGTATAAGATTCCTAGAGAGACACTTGGAGCAGAACCAGATGCCCCTGCGTCCTCCCTCCTCCCCAGATTGAGGACGGATGGTGGCTGGGGAAGAAGAACGGGCACCTGGGAGCCTTCCCGTCCAACTTTGTGGAGTTGCTGGACAGTGGGCCCCCAAGTGAGACCTGGAGCCTGTGACCCCGTGAACCCCTGTGACCAGACTCGGCAATCTCCAGTGACCCTCCCCAGTGGTCTGAGCCTGTGATCCTCACATCCTTCCCCATGACCCCTTTGACCTCTCCCATGATCTAAACTGAATAAGCATTCCCCTAACCTCACTATCTCCCACCAGGCCTTGGTAACCCACACAAGCCTTCAGTCAGCCTTGATCCCCAGAGACCTCCCAAGGTAAATTGAATGGAGCGGGTAAAGAGGTGGTGAGTTCCTCTTAGGGGGGCTGGAGGCTCAGCTTGTTTCTCCCCCTGCCCCCACTAGCTGAGCAGCCTGACCTATGACAGCCCTCCAGATTACCTGCGGACCGGTGAGCACACAGCCAAAGGGTCCCTCGAAACCCCCTCCCCAAGCCACTCTGACTTGGGGGAGGGGGAACCCAGCTAGGATGATGGAGGAGGGAGCCCATGACTTATCTGGAGAGGGGGGTTGGCTTCAGTGGACTGACCTCCCCTTAGTTTCCCACCCTGAGACATACAGAGTCCTGTTTGACTACCATCCTGAGGCCCCAGACGAGTTGGCGCTTCGGAGGGGGGACGAAGTGAAAGTACTCAGGAAGGTAGGAAAGGCACAGGGCAGGGGAGGGTGCAGGGATGGTGCTGTTGAGAAGGGTAAGCCTGGGGAAGGAAAGAGCTTGGGGATCTGGCTCACCTCTCCATGGCATCTTTCTCTCCCAGACCACAGAGGATAAGGGCTGGTGGGAAGGAGAGTCTCAAGGCAGAAGAGGAGTCTTCCCAGATAACTTTGTTCTCCCCCACCCCCGGTGAGTACGGAGAAGGCACTCACATGGCAGGGGCAGGCTACTCTGGACAAAGTTGGGGGTTGTGGCACTCACTGACCACAGCTGGAGGGCCACCTGCAAATGAGGGTGGACTTAGAAATGTGAGGGCATCTCTTGATATGCTGATACCTCTTTTCCGCATAGATCAAGAAGCTGGCCCCACGGAAAGTGGTATCCCGGGAGTCAGGTGGGTGCCCGGGAAGCCTGCGACTGGGGGGGTGCTTTCTGGGAGACCCAGCAGTCCAGTTGACCATAAACACCCAGAGCACCTCAGTGGTCCAGTACACCCCCTTAGGGGGTACCTCCCCATGGGCTAAGGGCCTGGTAGAAATGTATTATGTGGGTCAGTGTTTGGGAATATGTCAATTTGCATGTTAATATATTCCTGTTTCTTTGTGTTGAGAATGTGGCTATCATTCTCATGAATGAATGTATTTAAATTTGTTTCATTTTGTAAGGAAATGTATGGATTGATTTATCTGGGTCTTTGAGACTGTGTGTGTGTGTTATGTGTCTAATAAGTGTGTCAGTGAATAGCTCTGTTTATGTATCAGTGTGTCTGTGGGGATGTGTGTCTTTTAATTTACCTTTCAACATAATATTTCACACATGCCAAAAATATACTTAACATACATGTTTTAAAACTTAATAATGAACACCCATAGTCTGTCAACCCAAAAACCCAAGAACTAGAACATTGCCAGTAGTTTGCATGCTCCTGTTTCCCATCCTGCTACTTCTCCAACACCCAATGTCACCACCAACCACTATCCCGAGTTTCATGTTTATAATTCCCTTGAGTTTTTAAGTGTGCTCATGTATATGTCTAAATAATGTATCAATTTATTTTTGTTTAGTTTTGAGCATTATAAAATGTTTATAGTCCTCTGGGACTTGCTGTTTCCAATCAACATTATGTTTCTAAGATTAATCCATGTTGTGTGTAGATGTAGTTCATTTATTTTTCTCTGTTGTATAATATTCATTGTGGAGAATTAACCACAGTTTGTTTCTGGTCTCCTGATGTTGGACATTTTCATTGTCTCTAATTTTTTTTTCCACTTTTTAAAATTGAAGTATAGTTGATTTACAATGTTGTGTTAGTTTCTGGTGTACAACATAGTGATTCAGTCGTGTGTGTGTGTGTGTGTGTGTATGAATATATATATTCTTTTTCATATTCTTTTTCATTATAGGTTATTACAAGACATTGAATATAGTTCCTTGTGCTATACCATAGGACCTAGTTGTTTATCTATGTTTCTAGGTTTTACTATTACAAACAGTGCTGCCAAAAACATTCATGTGTCTGTCTTCCAGTTGCAGGTATGATGTTTCTCCAGGATATAATCCTAGGAGTGGCATTGCTAGATTACAGGGCATGTGAATGTTCAGCTTTTATGAGATAAAGTCATATTGGTTTCCAAAGTGATTCGATTGTACGCTTTACCACTCCACCATCAGTGTATAAGAGATCTTACTGATCTAAATTGTGTCACACTTCATTATTTTTGTGAATCCAGTACAAAATAGCATCACATTGTGGACTCCTTTGCATTTTCCTGGTTAGTAATACTTTTTTGAAGTTCTTTATACATTCTGAACTATGGGTTATACATGTTATATTTTCTCTCAGTTTGTGGCCTTTTTTCTTTTGAGTGATTTTTTTGATGAACAGGAGTTCTTAATTTAAAAAATACTTCTTGAAGTATAGTTGATGTACAGTATCATATTAGTTTCAAGTGTACAACATAGGGATTCAAAATTTTTACAGATTATACTCCATTTAAAGTTATTATAAAATATTGGCTGTATGCCCTGTGTTGTACAATATATTCTGTATTGTAGCTGATTTATTTTATACATAGTAGTTTGTATCTTTTAATCTCCTACCCTTATCTTGCCCCTCTCCTCTTCCATCACCCCACTGGTACCCACTAGTTTGTTCTCTATGAGTCTGTTTCTATTTTGTTATATGCATTTGTTTATTTTGTTTTTTAGATTCCACATATTAGTGATAATTACATACGAGTGATAACATGAAGTATTTATCTGGGAGTTCTAAATTTTAATGCAAATGTATTGATCTTATCTTTAATGGGTTAGCTGGTTTTTTCTTGTTTAAGAAATCTTCCCTGCCTCAAGTTCAGAAAGACAGTCATTAATATTTTCTTTAAAACTTTTAAAGTGTTGCTTTTCACTTTTAAGTGAGCTTATCTATGTAGCATTGATTTTAGTGAGTGATCCAATTATACCCTTTTCCATATGGAGAGTCAGTTGTTCAGCATCATTAATTATTTCTGCATGTGAGTTTTATTGTGTCTTTTTAAAAATTAGATATCCTTCTTTTTATTGCAGGGCTATAGAAACGCACTGGGTTTTGTATATTGATTTTGTAGCCAGCCATGGTGCTGATTGTTTTCAGTAATTAATCTGTAGATCTTTAATAAGTTTTCTTCAAAGACAGTCATGTCATCTGTGAGTAATGACAGTTTTGCTCTATCTTTTCCACTCCTTATGCCTTTTAATTTCATTTTTTTATTTCACTCTAGTGGCTAGTATCTCAATACAATATTGAATAGAAGTAATGATGCTGAACATCATTAGCATATTTGTGATTTTTAATGGAGTGCTTCTAACTTTTCCCCTTTAACAATGATGTTCGCTTAGATCTTTTGTAGGTATCTTTTTGTCAGGTTAAGGTTAAGGTTTCTATTTCTAGTTTACTTAGAATTTTTACCGAGAGTGAGTGTTGAATTTTCTCAAATTGTTTATATGAATCTTTTGAAATGATTATATGGGTTCTCTTCTTTAATCTGTCAATGTGATAAATGACATCTGCAGAATTTTCTGATATTAAGCCACCATTAATTCCTGGGATAAATTCAAATTGGTCATGGTTTATTATCTTTTCATATACTGTTGGGATACCTTCCCAGTTTTTTTTTTTTTTTCCTTAAGAGTTTTGCAGTCATTTTTACTGTCCTCATTTGATTATCAGTATTATACGGGCCCCATCACTAAGTTAAGGAGTATACTTTTTTTTTAAGTCTTGTTTAGATCTTATGTAAGATGGGAATCATCTTTTCTTGAAAGCTGGTGAAACTTGCTTATAAATTCATCTGGCACAGTTTTTTTCCATTATGGAAAGATTTTAAACTACTTCAGTTTCTTTAATAGTTATAAGTAGATTTGTCTTCTGAATAAAATTCTTTTTCTTTCTTTTTTTTCTGCTTAATACAACAGAAAACTCTCACAATTTTGGAAGCTAGAAATCTAAAATCAACGTGTTGGCATGGCCATATTCTCTGTGAAGATTCTAGGAGAAGAATCTTTCCTTGCCTTGTCTTAGCTTCTGACAGTTCTTGGCTTAGAAGTCATCACTCCGTTCCCTGCCTCTGTCTTCACAAGGTCTTCTGCCCTGTGTGTTTGTGTCCAAATTCCCTTGTCTAATAAGGACACTATTGGTCTTGGGTCCACCCTAATCTAATATGACATCACCTTAATTTGATTACATCTGCAGACCCTTTACAACTAACTGCTCTTCAAATAGCTTTATCTTGGAACTCAGATGAGGAAGAAGCCTCACATTTTAGGAGACTTGCACAGATAGTGTTCTGTCTCCTGGTCCCTGGGTAACCATGTCTGGCCAAAAATCTTGCTACAATTCTGGAATCAGTTTTAGTGAGTTATATATATTTTTAATTATCCATGTAATTAATGTTTTCCAATTATTTATAAAAAATTATAATATTCTCTTACAGCCTTTTAATCTCAATCTATTATCTCTGGTCATAGTCTTTTTTTCATTTCTAATAATGTTTACTTTTTTCCTCTCTTTTTCCTGCTAAATATCACGAGAGAATTGTTACTATATTCAAATACTTTAAAAAAATTATTTCTATTGTACATTTTTAAAAAGTTGTGGTAAAAAGTATGAGTTACCATCTTAACCATTTTTAAGTGTACAATAGTGTTTCTGTACATTGTTGTTCAAAAATCTCTGGAAGTACCTTTGTGTTTTAATCTAGTCAGTCTTTGTCTTTGGTAATAAATTGATGAGGTTAGACTGTATTAACCGTAATTATTTTATAATTTTAAATGATTCCTTCCTCTTTTTTCTTAATTTTACTTTTTCATCAATTTCATTAATTCAATAACTTTTTCACTATTTTTATTGTTTCAGTGGTTGCTCTTGAAATTCATCATGTATTTTTAACTTTTCAAGTCTAAATTCAAAGTCTTAATCTTCCTCCTGAACAAAATCTCTGCTTTTTAATTGGAGTGTTTAGACCAGGAGTGAGCAAATTATGGTCACTGGGCCAAATCTGGCCTGCCACCTTTTCTGAGGTGGGGGAGGGGTAACAGATCTATTGAGATATAATTTATATACCTTACAGTTCAGTGGTCTTTTGTATAGTCGTGGAGTTGTGCAACATCACCACAGTCAATTTTAGAACATTTCCATCACCCACTGTACTCTTTAGCCATTACCCTACCAGTCTAACTATTCCCTCCTTCCCATCCCAAGATGACCACCAACCTACTTTGTCTTGATAGATCTGCCTACATTTTATATACATGATAATATACAATATATGGTCTCTTTAATGGGCTTCTTTCACCTCACATAGTTTTTTCATGGTTCATCCATTTGAGGTATGTGTTGTACTTCATTCCTTTTTATTGCCCAGTAATATTCTATTGTATCACTTTTTATCCGTTCATTAATTGAGGGACATTTGAGTTGGCGATGAACTTTTATGTACAAGTTTTTATGTGGACATGTTTCCATTTCTCTTGGGGTGTATATACCTATGAAAGGAATTGCTAGGTGATATAACTCTGTTTAACTCTGAGAATAACTGTCAAGCTGTTTTCCAAAGTGGTTGCATTGTTTTTCCTTCCCACTAACAGTGTACAAAGGTTCTAGTTTCTGCATATTCACACCAAAACTTGTTTTTAATCTGTCTTTTGATTATAATCATCCTCGTGGGTATGAAGTAGTATCTCATTGTGGTTTTGCTTTGCATTTCTTTGGCAGCTAATGATATTGAGCATCTTTTCATATGTTTATTGGCTATTTGTGTATCTTCTTTTGAAGAAATGTCTACTTGGGTCCTTTGCCTATTTTTTAATTGAGTTGTCGTCTTTCTGTTGAGTTGTAGGAGCTCTTTATATTTTCTAGATAAAAGTTCTTTATCAGATAAATGATTGGCAAGTATTTTTTTCCCCATTTTTTTGGGTTGTCTTTTCAGTTTCTTGATGGTGTCCCTTGAAGCACAAAAGTTTAACATTTTGATGAGGCCCCATTTATCTATTTTTTCTTTGGTTGCTTCTGCTTTTGGTGTCATATCTATGAAACCAATGCCAAATCCAAATTGCACTCCATATTGATTGGGCTGTTCTCAACCATGGCAGTAAAGCTGTCAATCCTCAACCTATTCCACCCGTGAAATGTCCACATGGACCAAGGCAGCAGGGGGCGGGGGAGGGATGCGAACAAGCAAGACCACCACCAAGCATAAATACTTCTTGGATTATTTATGCCTTTGGTCAATTTCCAGAGCACTGAGATGGTTGTTGCATCATTTCTGTCCAGCTTTCTAGTTGCCGTGTGGAGGCAACTTGCCTATCACCTCTTTTAGCCAGAGTCAGACCCTGGTTCTGTTATCTATTCCTTTTAGCATTGCCTTCAAATTTTTCACTCCTTGTCTCACTCTACTTCTAGTTTTCTAATTTTGGCTACTAATTTACTAGATTTTTGGCTATGCTTAACCTATACATTGCATTTTATTTCAAATATGCTACTTTTCATCTCTAGTAGTATGGTTTTCTCCCCACACCCCCGCTCCCCCGCAAATCTGCCTGTTTATTCCTGATGGCCCCTTTATTGCATGCTCATTCTTTATTTCTTCAAATATTTTAAACACAGCCGTGCTGTGTTCACTCCCTGATCCTTCCAGTATCTGCTGTGTGCTGGCTCTGCTGACTCCAGCTCTCCGTGGCCTGCCCTCTCATGTGTTTTATGAGCTACGTGTGTGATCTCAGTCTGCAGGAGTCTTGCCTGCCTCTGTAAGGGAAGACTTCTTCCAGAGAGGACTTGCTTTTACTTCCGCCAGTAGCCAGAGGGCACCAACCGGTTACCTGAGACCACTTCAGCCCTCCGAAACAAAGTGGTGCAGGGCTCACACGGCTGCCTGGCACCGAGCTTTGGGCCCATGGTGAGCCAGGGAAGCAGCATCTGGGACACCTGCTCCTCGTCACAGGCCCCAGGCTCGGAAGCCGCAGAGCAGTAGTAGTAGCAGTGAGTACTGTGGAGTAGTGCCCACAAAGTAGAACTGGGGCCAGAAGGGAAGTCTCCTCCCTTTTTTGTGGCCCTCACCTCCCTCTTTTATGTCCAACAGTGCCTCAAAATTGTATCCTAAGCAGGCTGTCATTGCTCTCTAGTGGGAGGGCCCCGCAGCAGCTCATCAGCCATGCTCCAAGAAGCAGGAGTCAAAGTTAACAGCTTTGACTGTGTGCCCAGCGCTTTCCTAAGCACCTCACATGGACTAAGTCGCTCAGCCCTCCCAACAACCCTATATGATTATTGCACTGCTGTTATCCTTGTTTTATGGATGAGGACGTGGGGGTACAAAGGTTAAGTTAGCAACCAAGTTCTCACACAGCTGGGGAATAATGGAGCATGAATTCCAAGCCTGCTGTCTGGCTAGAGGATCTGTGCTCTCGCCCACCGTGACTCCCAGAGGGGGATTTTGTTTGTATCTGTGTGTGATAATGTGTGTGTGTGAGAGTGAATTTCAACGTGTGCATACGCCACAGTGGCTGTGTGTGTCCATGGGTACGAATGTCAGTGTGTGTGACCGGGGCTCCCTCTGATGTCACCTTCTCAGTGTGGCCTTCTCTGACCCATCCTCCATTTAAAATTATAAACTCCCCTGCTTATTCTTCCTCAACAACTAATAAATCACTAACACACTACATAGTTTACTTCTCTCGTTTATGCCTGCCTCCTCAGTAGAACATGAGCTTGCTCTGGCTGCTGTGGGGAGAGCCCAGCACAGGAGGGGTGGGTGAAGCCCAAGCCCAGGCTGGAGGCTGTTGCAGTAGTCCTGGTGAGAACGGTGTGACTCGATCTAAAGTGCTCAGTGGGGGAGGTGGGGACGAGTGGCTGGATTCCAGATGTAAGCAGACAGGACTTCCTGATGGTTTGGATGTGCAGCATAAGGAAATAAAGGGGCCAAGTAGGAGTCTTCCCGTTTTTGTCTGAGCGAGTGGGTGAATGGGTGAGATGGGGAGTGCTGGGAAAGAGGCAGATCCCAGGGGCAAGGAGACTGGGAAGCAAGAGATTAGTTCTGGCTATATTAAGTGTGTGGTGCCAATTAGCTCTCCAAGTGTTTGAAATACTGAGAGGGTAAGAGTCTGGATTTCAGGGAAGAGGAAGGGGCTGGAGATGAAAATGGAGTTGTTGGCTTGCTGATGACAATTAAACCCATGAGACTGGGTGGGTGAGATCTCTTAGGGAGTAGATGTGATGGAGAAGACAAAGAAGGGGCATGGATTGGACAGGGAAAGGTTGTTGCTGTGGTCCAGGAAGGAAGAGAATCTGAAGCAGCTGTGGGAACTAAGCTGAGTACAGTTCTTAGAAAACCATGGATAAAATAAACTGGTAGGATTTGGAGCTGTCTCCCCACAAAGCCTTCCCTGACAGCTCTTTGGGGTGCTCCCACAGTTCCCTGTGCCCTCATGGCATCCCTGGAGCTCCCAGGAGGCAGAGTCAAATATGATTCACCTGTCACTAGTCCCCTGTGCACAGCACAGGACAGGGCCAGTGACTTTCAGGTGGATGCGTAAGTGAGTGAATAAATGCCCTGTTCCCCTCTCCTGTCCCAGCTCCTATTAAGGAACTCAAAAAGATGATGCCCAAAACAGCCTTCCCTACTGTCAAGAAGCTGGTGACAGCCCCCACTGGGCCCAGCAAAGCCAAGTAAGGAGCAGGGTGGGGGAGTGGAAAGGAGGAGGGTACAAAAGAAATGCTACTCACTGCCCCCACCCTTGGGTCTGATGGGGACATATTCTAGGCCATCTTGGACACCCAGTGGAGACGGTCAGAAGCGCCCGTCCCGAAACTCCAGTAAGTCTCGCTGCCTCCCTGCAGTGGGGTGAGGTCTGGGGTCGTTGTGTTGGGAAACAGAGATGGGGAGAGGTTCGGGTTCTGAGTAGGCCTGGGCCCTGAGGGCCTGCTCTCACAGGCTCCAGTGGCAGCTTCCTCAGTGGGGGTCCAGGCCACCCTGGCAGAAGGCGATCCAAAATCCAGGCTTCCCAGCAACGCTCTGCAGCCAATCAGGTGAGAGGCCCGAGACTTGGGAGAGCAGGGATACTTGGCAGAGATTGGTTCCCAGGGGTACGGTGTGCAAGGGTGAAGGATCCCAGGCCAAGGGGGACCAGATTCAAACTGTCAAGTTACCCAGCCCTTGGCTGAGACCTCACCCCCATCCCACAGGGCGAAGAGCAGAGCAGCCTCACAAAGGCCCCTCATGTGAATAAAACTCTGACTCTGGACAAGGCCCCTTGCCCAGAGGAGACCCCGTCTCTGGACAAGGCCCCCGGCCCAGAGGAGACTCCGTCTCTGGACAAGGCCCCCGGCCAAGAGAAGACCCCATCTCTGGACAAGGCCCCCGGCCCAGAGGAGACCCCGTCTCTGGACAAGGCCCCCGGCCCAGAGGAGACCCTGTCTCAGGACAAGGCCCCCAGCCCAGAGGAAACCTTGACTCCAGATAAGGTCGCTACCTTAGAGGAAACTCCAGCTCTGGAGGACGACACCCCCAGCCCAGACAGGGTCTTCTCTGTGCACGAAGCCCCAGCCTCAGAAGTCCCACCTGAAGATGGAGCCCCTCATCCAAAGATGGCCCCTCTTGAGGACGAGGCCTCCACCCTAGGCAAGTTCTTGACCCAGGAGCAGGTGCTCTCTGAAGGGGCCTCCACCAGAGACAACACTCAGTTGTATCACTTCTCTTCAGAGGAAGCCCTGCCAAATGCCAGGTCTCTTGAGGCTGGTGAGGCTCAGTCCCAAGAGGAGTTCCACATGCCAGAGGAGCCCTCCCTCTGCGTGGGGAAACATCCCCTGGATAAAAGGGACAGCTCCCCTCTCCAGTGTGAGTCCAAGTCCAAGCCAGGGTCCATGCCTGCCCTTGAGAAGGCCCACCCCCAGGAAGAGGCTGCCATCCTCCTGGGGGAGGCGCCTGTGAAGGATGAGACTACCCCCAAAGAGGAGAAGGCTCCCAAAGAAGAGGTACCCCCGGAAGAGGAAGTACCCCTCAAAGAAGTAACCCCTGCTCAGAAGAATTCACATCCTATCATGCTGACTCCAGAGCCCCGAGTGACCTCCACACTCCACTCCTTGGTCCTGCAAAGTCCCACAGACAGCGAAAGTGACAGAGACGACATAAAGAGGCTAAAGAACGAGGTGGAAGCTTTAAGGGGGTTGCTGGAGCTGATGGGGGTGCAGCTGGAGTAAGTGGGAAGGGGCAGGGAGGGAAGGAGAGGGGTGGGGGCTCTAGGCCTGCCCATCTCACCCCTTCCCCTCGATCTCCTGTCTGCAGAAAGAAGCTGACCGACATCTGGGAGGAGCTGAAGAGCGAGAGGGAGAAACGCCAGTTGCTGGAGGTGGGTGGGGTGTGGGTCCCAGGTGGGGCGGGGGTGAGGGCCGGACCTTCCCCTGACTCCCTCTCTCGATCAGGTTCTGGTGAAGCGGAGGACTCAGGAGTCCCGGACCCGGGACTCCATCCACGTGCAGACGCAGACGCACTAAGGGTGGGCCCAGGAGGGACTACAGCGGGACCTGGAGCGAGGTCTGGCTCCGGCCACCCACATCCTTGCACAAGGGGACTTTGGGAAACGCAAGAAAGTAAACTCTGCCGTGTACGCGTGCCGCGCCGGCCTGGTCTGTGCGGGGCCGGGGCGGGGCCTGCGGGACCGGGGCACTTTGGGAAACGCAAGAAAGTAAACTCTGCCGTGTACGCGTGCCGCGCCGGCCTGGTCTGTGCGGGGCCGGGGCGGGGCCTGCGGGACCGGGGCGGAGCTGGCGCTCCAGGCCCTCCGCATTCCTGGCAGTTGCTCCCGGGCACATCTGCCAACATGTGGCTCCCATTACCGTTCCCAAGGCCTGCGCGGCTATTTTTATCCACCGGATGGCGGGGAAAAGGGGGAGTGGGGGTGTCTCCTTCGGACGCCAGCCCCGCGCTAGAGAAATGGCCCTCAGGAGGGGCCCAAGAGGGGTCGGAGCTCTGTCAGAGGCCCGGATTCCAGAATCCAGCTGTGTGCGCCAGGGGAGGGGCCGGGCGGGCCGGCTCTCGAGCGCTTGACCCCTCCCAATTGGCCCCACTGTCTGCTCAGGACCCAGGAACGCACCTCGGCTCAAAACTAATTCCACAGTCCATCTCAGACACATGGTTACACTGGGGCTAATAGCTCCTTAGCGTCAAGGTCAGGGTCCCGTGTCCTGGTGTGTGTGCGTGTGTGTGATTGCAATGATGCATAAACCCAGGGCATTTGTAGCGACAGGGGCGATGTGTACCCAGGCGTTTGCCGGTAAGGAATGCTGATATTTGTGTAAATCTGTGATGAAGTGGTGGAGTGTGGGTGAAGGAGTGTGTGTTTTTGCCACGTGTGAACTGAACGCAAGCACCTGTGCTGAGGCGTCGATAGCTAGAAGGAGGTGGTCAGCCTGATAAAGGAGTCGAGTGGGGCCTCAGCCCTGGGGTCCCCTGCATGGCAAGATCCTGGGGGTCATTTAGGGGCAAGGGTAACAGAGAGACTGAGTCACTGAGAATGCAGCTTTCATTGGTCACTTCACCTCTTAACCATCCCCTAGAGAGGGGGTGGGGATTCTGGGTCCAGCCCTCCCCCCAGGGCCTTCTGGCTGGACTGGGGAAGGGTGTCTCCTAGGGGGCAGAGATCCAGGCCCAGTAGCACCGGGGAGCCGTGGGGGCGGAGCCTCCATAGCACCGTGGGCAGGGGCAGTCCGAAGGTCGTGGGGCAGCTCGGAGCTCCTATGCCTGTCCAGTACTCAGAGCGCCTTACAGCGCGAGCAGGGTCGATTAGTAATAGTGCATGCGGCCCAGGGTGCCTGTGCCCGTGGGGCTGGGCCCCAGCGTGCCAGTGCCCAGCAGGTCCGGCTGTCCCGTACGCCAGATCTCCCGCAGGATCCGTTCCCGCTCCTCCAGCCGCTGCGCCCGCTCCAGCTCCTCCGCTGACGTGAAGACATTGACGCTCAGGGGCCCATCGGGCTCCGCAGATAGCTCGGGGCCCGGCAGCGTGTCGTCAGGCCCCAGGCGCGTCACGGTGTCCTCGTCGTCGTCCTCGTCGTCGTCGTCGTCCTCGGCCTCCAGGGTGCTGCTTCGGGGGTCCCGGCGCGGAGCGGGGCCCCGGGGCCGTGGGTGGGGTGCGCAGGAGATGCTGATGACTAGTAGGCACAGGGTGAGCAGCAGGCCAAAACAGACGCCCAGCACGAAGTAGAGGCCAAAGCTCTCCGGGTTAGCTGGGGGTCAGAAGGCAGAAGTCATGGAGGAGCCCTGGCGAGTGGGAGTCATCCCATCTTGAAAAGATTCCAAGTTCTATGTTTGGAGGGCCAGGACAGTACTTTCTATTTGAAGGACCTTAGGTAGCACCATCGGGCAGTGGGGGTAGTGAGAATGGGGGTGGGGTGGGGTATTGAGAGTAGGTGACTGGCTAAAGCAGGGTTATGATGGCCAGGAGGTGAGGAGGAGAGGAGGCAGGGAGGGAGGGGTCCATGCCCCGGTGTCTGCCCTCACCGCGGATGTGTGCGTAGGCCGCCAGGCTGTTGCTGAGCAACTCCATGTCCCTTCGGGGGGCATCCATGCTGCTCTGGGGGCACAGCTCCCCTGTCAGCCTGCGAGGTCAGCAAGGTCAGATCCTTCCCCACGTCTGGAGCCGATCCTGACCTAGCTTCCTCCTCGGGACGGCTCTGCTCCCTGGAAAGGCAGCCCCAGCCAGGTTCCACCCTGGAGAGAACAGCTTCCTAACTTCGTTGCAGTCCTGGGCCCTGGCTGGGGAATCCTTCCCCTGAGCGCAGACGTCCCAACAACCTGAGGGTCGGAGAAGTGGGCCGCAGGAAGCTCCGCCCCTGGTGGGGTCCCCAGACGAGGCCCTATTTCGCCGTCCGGGAAGCGGGATGGAGGAGAGAGAAGCGGGCGCCTTCCCCACTACCTGGGCGGGCTCCGAGCAGGGAAGCCGCC